ACCCCTGATTGTAAGAACCCCTGATTGTAAGAACCCCTGATTGTAAGAACCCCTGATTGTAAGACCCCTGATTTTAAGACCCCTGATTGTAAGAAACCCTGATTGTAAGAACCCCTGATTGTAAGAACCCCTCACTGTAAGACCCTGATTGTAAGAACCCCTCTTTGTAAGAACCCCTGATTGTAAGAACCCCTGATTTTAAGACCCCTGACTCTATGAACCCCTGAATGTGAAACTAGCTGGTAGCCCATAAAGCGTGAGGTTGTGAGTTAAATTCCTACAGTGCACAGCATTTATTCTTTTTTTTTTCTCTTATCAACGGAGATATCTCTGCATAAAAAATATATGGAAAGACAACATTTGCCTTTCCTATGCTTGTATTTAAAAAATCATGTGGAGCGAGTAAGTCGACCGAGAATTCGTAGAGAACGTCGACAGATTTTGAATTCAACTTTGCTTAACTTCGGAATGATGTTAATTCTTGTGCTACTGTCAATTTCATTACGAAAATACTACTTTTCAAGTTTGACAAGTGCTTCGCTTCATTGTAAATTGAAAATCAAAATTACTGAAATCAAAATTGCTTATATAAAATTGTCATAACTGCCGACAGTATAATAACACCTTTATTTAGACATGATAATGTTTAAAGCTGAACAGCTTGTGGGGTCTTGTGTAAATGAAAATAAACTCTAAATTAAATAAATTCAAATTATAATAACACCTTTATTGACAAGTGCTTCGCTTCATTGTTAATTGAAAATCAAAATTACTGAAATCAAAATTGCTTATATAAAATTGTCATAACTGCCGACAGTATAATAACACCTTTATTTAGACACAATAATGTTTAAAGCTGAACAGCTTGTGGGGTCTTGTGTAAATGCAAATAAACTCTAAATTAAATAAATTCAAATTTATTTCAGGTGTGTGGCTGGATTAATAGGAAGGGGGGTATTGTAGTTGTGAGAACCAATATTAATGATCAGAAATGAATGAATGGATAATATCAACTATTAACTGAGGGAGTTTGAGCCTTTATTGTTTGGATTATCACTGAGCAAACCTTTCAAAATAAGTTTTGCTTTAAAGACCCTCTACAGTGTATGAAAGAAGAAATTATTGAGGCCACCATTACATATCGACGAAAAGAACTTTGCTTTCATTTCATTTCATGCGCATAGTTGTTTGTAATCTTGTTGATACTGAAATCAAAATGATGTGAAAACCGCCAACAGTAGTTCCTTTGGGGCAACCCTAAAACC